TGCTGGCCGCCCCCCGTGGTACTGCGTATATATATCAAGTCCGAGACTCTCATAAATCGATTTCTCGATTATCTTCGTACGAGGGTAGACCTGCGGTGGCTCCTCTCGACTGTATGTCTCGTAGCGCGGTCTCGTTGATTTTTTTTTTTAACATAATCGGTAGGGACTGTCGCGTGTTGCTTGAATATCTCGATACGCGGATTTCCCTCTTACTTAAAGACTCTATAATCTATATGTTCTCTCCATATGCTCATGTTAACTCTTGGGGTAGGTTGGGGTGGAAGACATCTGTGTCGTAGAAATCTGGCGATTCTCCAATCTTTCATCATAAGCTATTAATTATATTATAATTGAATAATTCGATACTATAGTAACATATATGTATACATAATATATACATATCACATTTAAGAAGGAACATTAAAGTATGCGATCCGACAAACCTAAAGTGAGAATTACTTAGGTACACTTACAAACCGCAAAAAGGCGACAAATTATTTTAAAAGGAGTTATAAGACATGAAATGTGAAAGCACTGAATTAATTATACATCTAATACGTACTTTAGTCTTTTTATGATGCTGTTAGAGCGGAAATCAATGTTTATTTCTTTGGAAATTAGTTATGCACACGATACATCTAATTTTTATTTTTATCGGTTTCTATTCATTATTCTTTGTTTCTAAAAAAATATTTTATCTTTTTAAAAATATTTATCTTTTTATCTCACCTTTTTTTCTAAAAGAAAAATTAATTGATATTTTTAAAAATAAGATTATATTAAATAGAAAAATTATGGTTTGCATACGAATAATTTACAATAAATGTCGCAAGATTTCTATGATCAAGTTACTACATAATTAATCAGATGAGGTAATGGACGAAGAACAAACAAGAGCACGTGACTAAATTATATGTATATTGAGTGTAAAATAATAGATACACCGTTCCAGGATGCTTTACGAGTACGACCGTTAAGACAAGCAATCTCTTAAGATTTTCGAGGGCAATAACAGAATTAATCCTGAATCTAATCTGCCTTACAATCCAATTTTGAATAGGGGTTTAGTATAAAAATGGCTAATACAGACACATAATGCATCAAAGCTAACTGAATGATTAAAAGAAAAATAATATCAGGGAAAAAAAGCGTGAAGAAGAGGCATGCCGATTTGTTTTAAAAAAATAAGCCAATGAAAAGTATGCCAAGCTTAAACGTATGCATGCAGAATGAAGAAGAAATTGAAAAAATGTTATAAATCATGCGCCTATTGACATTTATACCGTTTGCTCTTTTACAGAAAATTCATCGCAAGTGAATTAATGATTCCAAAATGATTATTCTTCTATGTATTCATATATTACTTTTATTATTTCTATAAATAATAATTTATCTCTGTTATATGCAATAGAATCAAATTCTAATTATTGATTCAGACATGAATCTTTGTATTAGTAATATCTACGTCATGATCGGAAAACGCTAGAATTAATATTACTTTCTTATTATATAAATTTAAGTATTTTTAAAGTCATATTTGAGTTTAATATTTCAATTTTTGCATTATTTTATATATGTATTAGAAACTTTCTTTTTTATTTTATTATAATTTTATTACATTTTACACTACCTGAATAGTAAATGAAAAAGTAATTATTGAGAGAAAGGATGAATTCTCAGTAAAACCAGAGCAAGACATATGGGATGTATTTTCTTACCTTGTACTGTGACTCATGAGGACTACGTTTCTGTAACAGCATATAATGGATCCTGATTGTTGGGAAGCGAGTGATGAAATGATCGATTTCAAAGACAATACAACAAGCAACTTAAGCTCTAATTGAATCATTTATTCTCCTAATCCTTTTTTTTTTAAACAGTTCAAATTCTTTAACTGCCGATATGTTACATTATTTTAATAAACAATTTTATAAATATCATCACATATATTTTTGCATAATTCTTATTAACAATAAGAAAGTAATATTTAAATAATATTTAAGTATAACATTCTTATATAATAAAAAATTTATTTGTAAACGAATTCCATCAATTCAAATAAATTTGGTGTGTGAATGTTCAAATATTAAAATACGAAAATAATACTAAAAAATATTATTTACTTAAAGTTATGTTTAAACTGTGGGGAACTGCTCGGGCTGTTCACATAATCATATAAAATATTATAAAAAATAGCAAATATAAAATTACAAAATTTATTTTAAATACACACCAGAGTGTTTTTAAAATTGCTTTCAAAATAATAAAATTGAATAAGAAAAATTAAAAATTTGGCTTATATTAATTAATGTATTTCATGATGCATCTAAATATTAAAGTATTATTAGTTTAGAAAAAAGTATATAAAGTGTAGTAAGTAGCTTTTTATGCCGGTTACATTGTCATTATTTATATATTGTTGCTATCAAATATATTAATTTAATTATTCTTTAAACCTGTTGCATATTCCATCCTGTAAAACAATATCAGTGCTAGCTTTTAATTTTTATGGTAAAGCGTGACGATGTGCTCGAGTTGCCTCTAAATGCGAAAGAAAACTGCAATATGCTTTGTCGACATAAGTCGACATAATTAGGTTCATATTTATGCAGTAAAACAAAATCTATCTCGTATGATTTGAAAATGTCATCGCATGTATTTAGCTGCGAAGCTGCGAAGTAAAGGCTGGTGAGACGCAAAACAAATTGTGAAAATTGTTTAAACGCAAAATCCATATTGAAAACTTAAAGATTTCCAAAACAAAAAACAATTGCAAATAATATAATAGAACAAATTTATAAAAGATTCCTATATTTTCGTAATCGTCGCGCGTTTAATCAGATACGTTTCGTGACGAAAGGGGGATTTATCGAAACCGTGTACATTTTTGAAGATGGGCGTATAAAGTTCTCTAGGAAACGTTCTATGTTACTTTACCAAAGCGATTTGTAAAATGTATTTTATTACGCTTTGAAAAAAATCGCCAAAACTAAGGCAATATTTATATATATATATATATACATATATATTATATATACATATAGATAAGTAAGTCAAGCATATCCTACTTAAGTGAGACTACGCGCTGCTTCTATTCTGGTGCCAAATAAGGTAAAAGACAACAGTTCGATTGTTGCAAAAGTAAAGTAGATGTATAGAGAGAGACACAATTGTCTTGGACGGACGAAGAGTTTGCTAGAGAAACTAAAGACTAAAAGATAAATTAAATGAACTCCGAATTAAAAGTGCATACCATAGAAACGCGTTGTATATAGAATGCAGACTGAGAAAACATACCGAAGAAGTCTTGTTATGTAATCTGGCCAATTATCCGGGAACATTACGAGGAAGAAACCCACCGCTATGAAGATCATGCCTGCTAATTTCATGCCCATGAAATACGCTCCATAAAAAATAACGTCCAATGCTGCACAATTATATTAACGATTAGTAAGCAACAGATTTTATAAATAACAATGAAATAAAAAGATAACTTTTTTTTAATATCTGTCTTATCATTACAAGTATTTATCTGTAACGTATTAAAAACCAAACTAAGGATCGAAACGTTTGTGTATTGCGTATTTTAAGTAAATATACCGATGGAGTGAGCCTGCTCCGATGACTTTGACCTTTTGATATATGTTATTCAGATTATGACCCTGAGTGATCTCCAACAGGTTTTAGCTGCTCATTACTAGTTAAAAAGTTATTAATAAAACAAGTTTAAAAAATAACGTCTTATTTTTGCCACGTACAATATTTAAAAACAATCCTATACCTTCCCATGTATACGTAATAGCTTTCCACGCGAAATAGGTTTCATCCTATTTCCCATCTTCCCTGCCAAAGGACGTAATGACTTTTCCTGCAGATAGATCTTGTTTCGCGTAAAAAATGAATTGAACGTCTTAGACAGAAGGAAAGATGCGAGATATGGAACTCGCTTCATGCGAAAAGTCGTAAAATATATATTTTAAAATGGAAAATTTTTATTTAAATCTAGTAAGAGATATCATTTTTCAAATTTTTTTTGTTAATAACTTTCTTGATATGTTAATAATTTCTTGCCATGATCATGGTTATCGGGACGAGTCCCCTTCATCGACATATTTATCACAATTTATTTTTTTTCGATTATTTATTCTTGGAGCTATAATTCTTGTGAAGAGATAATTCTTTATTTGTAATTTCATTAATATTATATTCAAAGTTTATATTTTCAAATAAACAGACATTTTTTTAATTCTACATCCTTTCTATAAACGTAGGTCTTTACTTTTAATGTGTAATTATTGATATATTATTAAAAACAGTCATTTGTTAATTTACGATTATTTTAAAATAATAGTTTTGTGTGCGTGTGTGTGTGTGTGTGTGTGTGTGTATGTGTGTGTATTTTACTTACCAGCAGATACAGGTACAGCTGTTATTAATCCAAGAGTAATGAACAGGTCGTAAGTGAGCGCGATACTGAAATTGCCGAGCATATTCGCAACTGTGAACAATTAAATCATTCAAAGTACATTTCGTTACGAATGTATGTATGTTATATCGAATAGTAATCTAGTTCAGCGTAAGTTCAGACCTAAATGAAGGATGCTGGCAGAGAGTAAAGCTGCCCAAGGTAATCTTGCCCAGTGTATGGTTTCCACTCCAGAAAAATACAGAGCCAGGCAAATTGGCCATAATAAGGCGGCATTACATAAACCGATAAGAGAGAAAAATAAAGACATTTGGCCGAACGTAGTTTCTCCAATTACTTTCTTAAAGAGTACCTGAATGAACAAAATAACTCTTAAAAATTTAATATCTCATATACAACTATATCGATACAACTGCAATATAATTCACAAGATATTACGCTTACTTTGTAAACGGCAGAGCCAGCTGCCGCTGCTGTAGCTAAAACGACACCTCCTAACGTTGGACTTCCAGTTATTCCGTCCATGTAAGCTAAAAGCGCAATACCAGTGTTACAGAGGATCACCGCGACTATCTGTAAATAATTAGAAAAACTTTATGTTGAGTTTAATATAATAAAATTAAAACTTTCTTATAAAAGTACACAAAGTTCATGCAGAATATATTTCAGCTATTTGTATATGTAACGATACGTAAGAGTACCAATATATTATACACAAAAATGCCATTTAAAAAAATTTTTAACATTATTTATACGTTAGATTTATAAAAAGATTCAATATTCTTCATAAAAGTAACTTTCATATTTAGTAAATTAATATATTAACATAAGTAAAATAAAATTTTAACAACAAAATTGGAACTACATATTTTTAAAATAAAAATTGAATGACTTTTTTCTTACATCTACTCACCCTCACACCCACGAATTGTTCATGAAGTATGACCCACGAGAGTAAGTAGACGCATGATACATTGGTTGCAAATAATGCCATCACGTCCGTGGCTAGTAGTATTCTCAGCGAGAGTATATATAAATAATTTGTGATGACCCATAAGCTGCAGAAAAGACTGCATCTAATTAAGAAGCGGCCGCCAGTGAAACCCTTATCACGGAAACCGCGAAGACTCTCAGCTATTATTTCCGAAGGGGTGGCGCACTTGGTTCTCGTAGCCCAACAAATGAAGTATACCGGAAAGTATAAGATTTCCCAATTGGTACAAAACCACGTTGTAAAGAAGGGCGCATCGTATGGAAGAATGATCTGAAGATAATAATTGCCTTAACATCATCTCGTTAGAGATAGAGGAAGAGGAGAAGAGAAAGAGAGAGAGAGAGAGAGAGAAATAAAAAAGATAAAGGGAAATTAAAATAAACTTACATGTTGATGATGAAGTCCGCTCACAGAGGAATTTACGGATTCGGACATCTCCGAGATCTTATCTGATTTACGAAAGTACAAATACTTAATACAATGAGTCGCGCCAACCCAACTCGCGGTTACACATATCGTCACGCACACGCCGAAATAGATCTGCAATTATAAGAGTAATTTTCGTCCCTTTTTGATATGTATACAGGGTGTCTGGAAATAATCGCCAAATATTTCATGGGCAGGTAGAGAAGACTAAATTGAGTCGAAAAGTCCTCTACCATTTTGCAATTTTCGCAATAGTTAACAAGATATTAGTTACTAAAAATTGCCAAATAAATGGTCTTGAATAAGTTTTTATTCAAATACTATCAACTTTATAGAAAAGCTGCAAGAGACAAAAATCATTTATTTTCTTCTCATAAAGTCCTAAGAATTTTTTCAGAATTTTTTATCAACTTTTTAGTACTGCATTTTCTTTTTTTTTACCAACATGAGAAAATATGGTATTAAAAAATTCTGAAAAAATTCTGAAAAAATTCTCAGAATTTTACACTCTGTATATATAGCTGAAGTATAAAATAAAATTTTCTTCTTCTTATAAAAATAATCGGACAAAATGCATATGTCAATAATAAGTTCGATAAAACCCGATCGATAAAATAACACAAATAAAGAGAAAAAACAAGAGAAAAAAATAAAGAGAAAGAATTCTAAATTTGGTCGAAACAGCTTTTAATGGTTATATAATAATATTCATCTAAATTCTCAAATTTATTTTTCAGTTTTATAAACTGTGCAATTCATTGGACTTGAAACGTAATCATAAATTGAAGCTGGAAATAATATTACAAATAACATTGATTAATTTTAATAATGATGCTAATAATTATATTTGAAAACACTGCAAAGAATTTATTGTGAAAAATATCATTTAAGCTAGTTTAAATCTGGATCTCGACTTTCCAGGATGGACGTCCTAAGATGTAATTTATAATATTTAATAATATAATTTGTAAAATATTATTTCCAATTTTAGTTTATGATAACGTTTCAAGTTTGACAAATTTTAAATCGGCGCGCAGTTTATAGAACTGAAAAATGTATTTGATTTAGAATATTATTATAAATATTATTATTATTGTATATATATTATTAATATTGTAATGTAAATATTTTTGCTTTAAATAATTAATATATGCAAAAAAATCGTATATTTGATCGAAGCGGATCATGATACTTAATAATATTCATAATCCTATTAATAGAATATGTTTTATATATATATTAGGTCATTTAAAAAGTATTCGCGGTTTTTTGTTCAATTTTTGAATGAAAAAACCGCGGATACTTTTTAAATGACCCAATATATAAATAATCTATTCTATTAATAGAATTATGAATTTAGTCGAAGCGGATCTTAATACTTAATAATATTCATAATTCTATTAATCGAATCCACTTCAATCAAATATACAATTTTTTTACATATATCAATTAATGTAAAAAATATTTCTGATACATAAGATAGCTATTGTAATAGCAGGTATAACAGCAAATTCGATTCCTGGTAAAAAATTTTTCATGCATGAATGTGTGTGTGTGTGTGTGTGTGTGTGTGTACAGAGTGTCCGAAAAATCACCCGCAATACTTCGGGAAGTGATTTCCGACTAAAAATTTATCTAAGGATTTTTAGCAGGTCCTAATCAGATTGACCTTATTTCATTATCAGATCCTGATAAGGTAAGTTTATCATGATCAGTCACACATGTAACGTAGCAATCGTAGCGTAGTAATCGAGTCCTCATTCGGATCGAGCATCATCAGGTTTTTTTAACATAAAAGTAGTTATAACTCGGAAACAACTTATTACCGGACCTATATTTATATAGCTCTTTTTCTTTCTTTTTGGGTCTCGAACCATTTCCTGAAATATTTTCCGAATGATTTCCCGGACACTCTATATATATATAAATAATATACATAAACATATATATGTAATAAATATACATAAAACATGTATAAATA